TATATATATATATATATATATATATATATATATATATATATATATATATATATATATTCCATCTGCTGTTACCTTTTTCCCCCCTGATTTTGAATTTTTCTACTTTTTTTTTTAATCAATTGGGCAGCTCCTGTTTTTTCCAGAAACCTTTGTGACTGTAGAGCTTATTGTAGATGAACTGGTGTTCTTTTCTATATTATTATTAAGAAGAAGAAAAACTATCCAACACAGTAATATTGGTACCTGTCATTTTTTTTCCACTTCTGGTTTAAGAAAAAAAAAAAGAAAAAAATGAAAATAATAATGTATTTTTAGCAAAATAAAACTTGGGTAATCTTCTAAAAGAAATTTTAAAAAAAAGAAAAAACTCACTGTTAGTGACTTTGATGCCTTTTAAAAAAAGAGCTTTTTTCATTTCATTCCATCTTTAAAATTTTTTATCTTTGTTGTAGAATATTAAAGACTATTTTAAGAAAGATGAAAATTCTCTTTAAAGAGATCTCTAGAATGTGTGACTAGAGCTCCAGATGCCTCTAAAAGCCGCATGTACAAAATGAAGCCGCCGTCTATTCCTGTCTGTTTATATTTGCTTTTCCTGTTTTGTAACTTCTTTGTACTTTGTTCTTGGTGACTTGTAAGCTTCAAAAGGGGAAGGGGGTGCCTGGATGAAAACCCTTGTAATTCTCCATGTCATGAGCTCCTGGGCCTGTCGGCCTCTCTTCCTCTCCTTGTATGTAATATCACTTTTTCCCTCTCCCCTTTCTAGCAAGTACTTTCAAAAGAACTCTGTACATTTTAACATAAAAAAAATAAATTATGTTGAGCCATTTTGGAGGTCTGGTTTTGCACATGGAATCTTTCTTCCTCTGGTAACGTTGAACGGAGCAGGCTTTAATTTAGTTTTGCTTGATTGTCGCTGCTTGTACAACAAAATTAAATGCCATCTTCAGCGTACATTGTAACTAAAAATAAAACACAAACACACATCCTTCACGTTCTACACAATTGAATTGAAACCCCTGATGCATTAATATTGCATTATTATACAATAGAATTCAATATAGTTACTGCCTTGGGATAGAAGCTGTTTTTCAGCCTATTTGCCCTTGTTTTTATTGTCCGGTATTGTCTGCCAGATGATAAAAGTTCCCCCCCCCCAAAAAAAGAGTGCCCAGGATGAGATGGATCTTTAAGAATGTTTTGAACTTTCTTAAGGTAGTGGGAGCTATAAAGGAGAGAGAACCCCTGATCCTCAGCAAACACTCAAAGAGTCACAAAGGTCCTAACCATTCCATTCTGGAGCCAACCGGAAGTCCGATTCCCCCACCATAGAATCTCCTAGTGCGGCATCCTTTTTTCTTCTGCCAACCAGAAGTACAGTTCCCCCACCACCATAGAGTCTTCTCCTAGTGCAGCGTTCTTTTCCCTCTACCTGTCCTAACTGAGAGTCCTATCAATTGTGGAG